TCCCTCTCTCCATCCCTGCAGCCCATGTCTTCTCTGGTACAGTCCCGTATTTTGAATCTGCCTCTTGTTTTGTGTGCCCGCCCACCCCCTAGGAAACTCTGCCAGTCCCAGAATGCAGCCCCAGCCCCCGGTGAGGATCTGTCCAACCCCCCCAAGGGTGTGGCCAACACGGCTCTTTCCCAAGTGAGCGGAGTCGCATTTTGGCTTTGTCTGTCCTCTTGTTGTTGTCCCCTGAGCTATTGTCTTTTAATAATTTAATTTATTATTATTTGTTTTCAATAGTCGCCGCCTCAGAAGAGATCGGGAATAACGGACTTCATTGACCCTCTAGCCAATAAGAAGCCCAGGATATCACATCTGGCGGGGAGGATGGCTCCGTCTTTGGGTGACAAGCTGAGCAGTGGGCAAGAAGCAGGTGCAGTGCCGGGTGGCGGGGGTCGGTTGCCTGGCCTGTGCCCCCCCCCGCCGGAGTCGACACGCCCCTGTGATCCCCTATGCGATGTCAGCAATGACTCTGGCCGCAGTCGGCGGGATCGTGAGGGGCGGGGCGCCGGAGCAGTGGACCGGCTCGGTCAGCCCATCTTCGGCTCTGGCCCCGCCTCTGAGCCGCTACCCGTCCGAGTCTCCGCCCCTCTCCCCCCCGGCCAACCCGGACTTGCCGGAGCCCCCCCAGAGCCTCCCCCCGCCCCTGCCGCCCTGCACACCAAGTCTAAGAAGAAGTCAAAAAAAAACAAAGGCAAGGAGAAAAGCAAGGACAGGGAAAAGGAGAAGAAAGGTGTAGCGGTGCAGGGGGCGGAGTCACGGAGCGGCTGTGACCTCACGCCTTCCACTGACGGCCTGACAGGCAGCATGTCGCACGGCGGTACAGGTAATGCCATAGTGCCCCCTAGTGCCTATTTTCCTATTTACAAACATGTAGGGATTGTTTGCTTGCAAAGCCTGCTGGTTTTAGTTTGTCGTAAATCAAATGTGGCTAAATCTTTTACTTTTTTTGAGAGCCCCGGCCCAGTATCAGAATTTGCTGTCGTGCAATGCTGACCTCTAGTGGTCAGTGCGGAATTGTCAGTGGAAAAGCCAGCATTTAACGCAGAGGGTCAAATTGCTGCCCTGCAATATTTTATTCATCTTATTCCCACTTGCATTCGTGAGGCCATTTGAAATGCATGTGACCAGGGTACCTGTTTACAAGGAGGGATCAGGGGGTTTTAAATGTAAATGCAAATATTTCCGGGCATGGTGGCCCTGCTGGCTGTGTGTTGATCCGTGTGACCTTGCTGTCATTCAGGTCGAAATGGAACATGCCATAGCGCCAGTGCCCTGCCGTCTACGCCGGAAAAGGCCGACTACTTACTGTAAGAACATCCTCACCGCCTTCACCCTACATGTGCTCCTTGAGGGCTGTGTGGTTGCTCAGATGGATGTAAATGCTAACCCATCAGAAATGCTCCAGTCTCCCTCATGCCTCTAGCGAGGCTGTGCACTGACAGGATCTGTTTACTGTTCCTTTATTTATTTATTTAGCACATCTGTTAGCTCAGTGTTTGGGCGTGCTCGTTTGATTCCCAAAGCAGCCACTTCCTATGCAGTGAACCACCCGCGAATGACCGAGTTCTGTTAGCCGCAGCGGTAGTCGAGCCGTTGCGGACGTGTGTACGGGATAAAGTCTGCAGTTGTGCAGAAGCGGGGCTGCTGATCTCTATCGAAGACACCCCTTCCCCTTGTTCCTGGGGGGGGTGGTGGGGGAGCGAAAAAGGCCACTCTGATTAGGGAGGCAGTCAGGTGATTGTGTTACCTGGTACGAGTTCACCTGCCTTCCTTTCCTTGCGTCGGTACAATGACGACACCAGCGCGCACAGTAGCCCCCAGAATGGGTCGACGCTGACCAGACTCCCTCTCTCTTTCTCGACTGTTTTCCCACCTCCGCCTCCCCTTCTCCTTCCCGCTCGGCCTTTGTAGGAAGTATACTGCCATATGCTCGCATGAGCAGCGGCAGACCTATAAGAACGACTTCAATGTGGAGTACAGTGAATACCGGGACCTGCACGCGCGCATTGAGACCGTCACTCGGCAGTTCACCGTGCTCGACTCACAGCTCCGGCAGCTTCAGCCTGGCACTGACAAGTACAAGGTACCTTCGCTGTGGCCCAATGCGCCGATTTGGGCACCGCGACCCTGCAGCGCCGCTGCCAGCTGCTGCTAAAGGGGCATAACACTCCCGGCAACACCTCTGCATGCGAGATGCTGCGCTTTGCCGCATGACCACAGAAATGCGACTTCCTGTTCTAGTTATCTCCACACAAGAGCTGATTGCTGCAAATTAGGATGCGTGCATTTGAGCAGTTATGATCATCTGAATTGATAACATCTGCCTGGTGATCAAGCAGCCCGGGGAAAGTAAACTCTTTGTCCTGTTCTTCCGTTCACAGACAATCCATAACCAGATACTGCAGGAGTATCGGAAAATTAAAAAGGTCAGTTTTTCCAGTGGTCTTTTTTGTGGTTCTGGTTCCAGTTTTAGCTTCTCGTAGACCAGACCTTCCTGGTAGTGATGGACATAGTGACACTTCATGAATTATTTGCTGTGTTTTTTTTTTCACCCCAATCGATGGAGCGCTCTGAACGAAAAAGGGCACAAAGCATGCCCCGAAGCAAACCAAGAGCACCACCTAGTGGGGACAAAAAATACAGCAAATGGTTCACAAAGAATCATTTTTTTCTATTACTGCTTCCTAGTCCTGTGTCTGAGCACTGAGCCCTGTTTTCAACTTCCCTGCAGACAAACCCGAACTACGCCGAGGAGAAGAACCGCTGTGAGTACCTGCACAGTAAGCTGGCATACATCAAGAAGCTCATCGCGGAGTATGACCAGCAGCGGCTCCAGGGCTGCTACTAGGGCGGAGCAAGCCAGCCATTTTCCCCTGGAAACCAGGCCCTGCCTACCCTGGGGATGGTCTGCTGAGTGGTGCCTCTTGGGATGGTCAAGGGGGTCACGATTGAATCCTTTCATTGGAGCGGAATCCTGAGAAGGGCAACTAAGTCCTTTAATGTATTTATTTTGTGCTGGATGATTCCACAGCCCTTTTCGGGTACCTTCATTTTTCACGGGGATGAATCGTGTTCTCCTGCCCAACCCGTTCTCAATGCAAGGGAGGAAGAACATTTGTACCATATTCTTATACTGTTATGTATTACACTTTTTTAATTTATTCATTTTTTTCTGAGGGGGGGAGGAGGTTTCATAGAGATTATATGTCATGGTAATGATACAGTCTGCAGTATCGGGGTGGGGAAAGATATATAACATATATAATATGTCTTTAATCTTATTTCATCAGCCAGTGTGTTTTTTTTTTTTTTTTTTTAAGCCTTGGCATTTCAATAATTGCCCATACGGTGCAATTGTGATATCATAATAATGATGATTATTGTTCTAATAATTGTTGTTGTCGTTGTCGTAGTTCTTGTTTTTATGGGACATTTTCCCTTACAAATAACCTGACTTTCACAGAGAAGACTGCTAATCAGGCATGCATAGGTGTCTTGGTCCACTGGGGTTTGTAACCATCGCCTGATGCCCTTGGAATCTGATTACGCTCAGGCTAAGCCCAAGAGAATGGCACCTCCAGTCTTCATAAAACAACATTCCTATGAGAGTGTCCGAGCTGGTACACTCTGTATGAGTGCAGGTTTTTGAAGGGACACTTTGACAGGTCCAGGAAAGGTGCAGCGGTCAGGCAGAAGGATTGCCCATCTGTTTGGGTCGACTGTTTGTGTTCCCTGCTGTGATTCCATATTAAATGTTGATGTTAGGGTTTTTTTCTGGACTGTCTGTTCTTTTATTGCCTCTTTGGAACCCACACCAAAGCGTCTGGAGTCAAACAGTGTCGCCACAGTACACGTGCAACTTGTGTGTGGCCATCTTGTGTCCTTTTTTGTTCTTTTGTGTTCTTTTTGTCTCAGCTGCATTTAACGGCACTGGGAGCGTAAACACTAGAAACAGCCTTGTTGTTAAGGAAATGTACACAGTGTTAATTGTGGTGCCATTGCTGACCTTGCCTTCGTCTTGATTATCTTTATTCGGTTGAAAATGGATTTTCAATGTTTTTCACTCTGACGGACTTCGGAACTAGCAACCAGCTGTGCTGAACTCTCAGACTGTGTCTGCTTATTGCACAAGCGGCCCCCCCCCCGCCTCCTTTCATTGGTGGTATATGCCCAGGTATGGTGGGGGTATGACTACCTGAGGGAAGCCTGAAACTGAATGACAAATAAAAGTATTGCTCCCCTTAATGTCTATCTGCTGTAATTGCAAATAACGCCCCCCCCCCACCCCTTGTAGTGATGTTCGGGGAGGATGTCAGTGACTGGAGGGCACAGCTTTTTGACCTGCAGCAAATTCCTCCAACCTGCCCGTCCACCCAGCTGCCTGGCGGGATTGTGTGCTATGACAGGGGGGTGGGGTCTGTTTTTTTCCCCCATAATGGTTTCTGATCAGATTGTACCTGTGATTGATGGCCTTAGATGATGTCATTTCATTATTTTTTTTTTAATTACTACAATCCTTAGTTGAGTGATTATTCTGCACAGGTTTAAAATGTACGGCCTTGTCAGCCCTACACAGTGCAGTGGTCTGCAAATAAATGCTGTGCGAGCAAAAGATTAGAAACTTTTAGAAATTGACTTTTCTAGATCACCCCGAGACACTTGGAAATTTCCCATTTCAAGAGAACTTAAAAGTCAGTTGGGTCACCTTTTTGCATTCTTTACAATTTTCTAATATAGTACTGAGTGTATACTGCCTTGCAGTTATGACAGGAGGAGGTATGTTTAAACCTATACCTTGTGAAGAGTACCTGGATAGTGTAAAATCAGATGCACAATGCCATTTGTACTTTTTAAATTCCATCTAGAAAAACAAACAAACATATTGCCACACTAAAGTTGGCGTAACCCTCTGTTACTGGTCGTCCAGTTTTTATTTTCCCTCAATGGACTCTAAAGATGTGTTCTGTATGTTCATCCACCATTATCAGACAGCCTAGACTTATGGGATGGCTTCTCTGTCCCATCTCTTTACAGGTCAGAGGATGGGGGATTTAAACACTTCAGTCAATGGTTTTGATAGAGATGTCATTGTTTTGCTGGAATGTGTTTTCTTCTCCTCCAGACTCTGTCCTCGCATGTGCCAAGGAAATTGTTACTTTTCATAGGGAATGGGAGTTTGCAATTAAATTATTTATTCATTCTTCTTCTGTGCATATTCCCTTTTTCAGCCACCAAAAATGGTCTGTAAAACGTGAATACGGAAAATAAAATATGAAATGAAGATGGTCTGCAGTATCTTTTTCTGCGCATGCAAGTGAGCCTTCAGTCCATGGTGCATGTTCACGTGTGGGGAAGCGATTCTCAGTCCTTCAACCATTTCCAGATACTGGTTAAAATGTTAATGCGGCTTTTTATGTAGTCCACGATAGTGTAGATCTAAATGTTGACTACTGAGATAAAGAAAACTGGCTTGATGAAATCTGGCACCATCGTCGTGGAAAACGTGTCCCACAATAACTCCAGCTTCAATGTCCGCCAAAAGTAACGTTTGCGCGCTCAAGATTTTTTTTCTCTGTGTGGTTTTTGCTTTTCAAATTTTGCCAGTAGTGTGGAAGCGTGAGTATCTGACTGTTAGCCTTTTATAAGGGTGATGGTAGCGGTGGAGTAAGAGCTCACCTTACTTTACTACTATCCACAATCTGTGGCGTTGCGAATGTAAGTCAAAGAGAGGAACGAACATTTGACCAGCGGTGTTCACGGTGCGAAACTGCAACCAAAGTTCTGCTGCGATTGATCATAACACATCCTTCCTCATGCGGTCCTGCAAGAATCTCATATCGTTCTTACCCAAAGACATTTTCTGCTTCAAACCCAGTGGTTTTTAATTCAATCGTACGTTCAGAGATTTTGTTATTGAAATCCTGTCAAAAGGTTTAATCTAAGTTGACAAAAATAACAGTCCCAAGCTAAATTACATAACATATAATTTTAACAATGCAATGATTTTTATCTAACTCACCCAGTTCGGAATTAATTACCCTGCAAAGTTTTACAGGTAGGTTATTTAGACACGTGAAATGTACTGGAATAAGGTAATGTTTGCACGGTGTCATGCACCATGTATAACAATATGTACTTTCGTTATATTTAGAACTAATGTATAATTTCGGCAATTTACTTTAAAACCCTGGTCAGTGTATATTTATTATAAATTTTGGATTGACAAAAGATAAAATTTGACGTCCTGACAAATAAGTTGGGCCTGTTTTGGAGAACCTAAACGGGTTTGAAGGTAAACCTCACTCTCAAGGCATACTCTTAAATACTCTTGAATACTCTTTCAATGCTCTTTTATTACTAGCTCTTATTTATTATTGCTGTTATTTTATTTATATAGAAAACCAACTACTTTGGCTCTTTGCTCCAAGCCTCCACTGTGTGTCTGGGATCAGGTCCCACAGGAAGTGTGAATGTGCACTTTTTTGCAGCCTGCTGCCAAATACGCACCCGGACAACATCATCTTTGACGGGGGGGGGGGCTGCTTTACCAAGGTCTTCCTTTTGATTCTGTAACGCAAACATGGTTTCCTTTGTGCAATGCAAAGTGACTCTACATCTATATTTATATTAATGATGCGCATCTCCATCACTGAGGCTGATGCAATACGCATCTCGATGCACTGGCAATGATCCGATGCATTAAAGATACATATGATGCAACTACTAATGCGATATGATATGATTTACCCCTATTGCGATGTGACTCAACACAATCTGAGTCAACACAATTTGATTCAACGTGAAACCATGCTATGCAAATCAATATGATGCTATGGAATTTAATATGGTACAGATAGTTTGATTTTATTTCTTTGGTTCTTCTTAAGCTGACAGCAAATAATAAATTAACTTAAGTGCCTCTACTAATAATTATATAGTAATAACTGCATTTATTACTGCATCCCGAGTTCATCCCGAATCAGGTGCACAGTTTTTTAATCAGGCCAGTCGCATGGTGAGCTTTTCTGCCACCGTATCAGTACGAATCAGCGAATCTTGCCATCCCAAATTTATGTTTATTGTAGTTTTTGAAGGGGATTGGTGGGTTAGAAAAACACTGGCTTACTAGTGCATAGCTATGGAGTAATTAGATGCCTTATATATTAACTATATTCCTGTGTAATTGGGTGAAATTGTAATGAAAATAAATATCATCCCTTGTTCCATGCCACACTTCTCCTGGTGAGGGATGAGGCTGGGATGCCCCCCCCCCCCCCAGATATGGCTGTTTCTGGCCCTGCAGAAGCAGCTCCGGCCGCGGTTCCCCATCTACGCTCCCGAGTTCATTGCTGCCAACCAGGGCCAGAGAGCTGAGCAAGGCGGAGCCGGTCAGAATGCGCAACACAGACCGTCTTTGTGGTCGGACACATTAACTTCCATTGTTGGCGGTCAGGCATCAATAGGGTCATTAATTGGGGGCAGTGAGTGGCACAGCAGACTCAGTCTCTGTCTGTGATCGGAAGATCAGTTCACACCCTGGCCTTGGCAGAATAGTCACACATGGTGCCCGGTCTCGGTGATACTGCCACCAACCTGCTAGATCCCATACAGGTATTTCCCCTCTGATGCGGTCTTTGCGCCCACAAAACCCCGAGTTTTGCATGCCTCAAGCTGATTGTAGGAGCGGTGAATCAGAAAACTAGACTTCCTTTTACTGATGTAGATCCCTGTGTTAATTACAGAAGATAATGATCATGCAGTAAGTGGTAATGTAATGGACTGACGTACTTCTTCATAAGAAAGCTGGTTTACCTTCAAATTAAGTAATACAGTTGCTTCAGTGAGAAGCAGTAGCGGATCTACGATTAATTTCACGATTAATTTTGCTACATTTTTGTGGTTTTAGTGCAGTAATTTTGTTATGGTAGTTTTGGTGAGACAGTGAGGCATTTACATTTATTTATCTGGTAGATGTTTTTGGCTAAAGTGACATACAGCTGATACAGATGCTAAAAAACAAACTAGCTATGGTAATCCTTCAATGACTGACCGAAACAAGAGCAAGTTAGCTGTGGTGAAACGTTACACACGCCACTTAAAACCTTGCATTGGTAGTCAGAGATGTTATATACTTGTCATTCAGTGGGCAGAGATTAAGTGCAACACAGTCAACCATCCTTATCCTCAGGTCCTGCATCCGTGGAAAAAAAAGAATATTCCAGAAAGTTCCAAAAAGCAAAACGTGAATATGCTGTCTGCGGACCACCCACACTGAATCCATGCAGGTGAAGTAATGTGTAAGTATTCCAGAGCCTCTGCAGTCTGAGTGCTGAAAGAAAGACAATGTTACATTGTTGTTGATGTAGCTAGCCTTTTCATTTCTTATCATTATTTCCTAAATAATGCGGCACAACAGCTTTTTACATGGCATATACACAGTTATAAGTCACCTAGAGATTATTTAAAATAACACAGTTATAAGTCACCTAGAGATGATTTAAAGTATATGGGAGGATATGCATAGGTTATAGGCAAATACTACGCCATTGTGTATAAGGGACTTGAGTATCTGTGGATTTTGGTATTGGGGTTGGGGCTGGAACTGAGGGACGACTAAATATAAAAATGCTAGAAAACTTAATTCATCAGTTATTTTACTGGATCCATCTGTATATTTTATGTTTTCTGGTATGTCAGCTAGATTGCCTGATTTGTGAAATTCAAAAAAAGCCCATTTAAACACCCAGTACGGTGTCACCCGAAGCATGCTGACGGAACTGGGGAGAGAGACGGCAAAAACAGAACAAACAAAAAGACATAAATCAGGTTGTGGAGATTCCAGACTGTGCTCTTGCTTTTTGTAATATACGGCAGAGATCCAGCAAGTGTATTTTTGCCCTCTGTAGAGGACATTTTGCTCTTGCTCATATCCTCCATACTGCACATGCCGCTCTGTTAAGTCCTGTTGTTCCTTGTAGAGGAAGATTGGGCTCTGGGTGGGGGGGGGGGGCTTTATACCATTCCAACAATTAAATTACGTGGGGGAAAAATGGAAACCATTTTTTTCTCCTGGATCTCAGGAGGATATACATGATTTATCTTTTCTGTCACTTAAAACATACAATGTAGTAAAAATAATCACTCAATACAGGAACCATCATGCATATTAATACTACAAATGGCTTAAATAAATGAGTTGCCATCCAGTGTTATGTGAGTATTGTTTCCCCGGGCAATGAGCTCACCTTGTTTTGCACCTCAATCGCTCCTGCAGGCGGGGGCCAAGGTGTCCCCCCCCCACACACTCTTTGCGGCGGCCAGCATCCAGGGGGGCTGTGCCTACATCAGCGGCTCCCCCCAGAACGCCTTCGTACCCGGGGCCGTGGATATGACCCTGCAGATGGGCGTCTTTATTGTCGGTGGCGATTTCAAAATCTGGGCCAGACCGTGATCAACTCTGTGTTTGTGGACCTCCTGGTTAGTGTCGGCATCAAGGTAAGGAGGTGCCCGATCAGGTGGGGGCTGTATTTTCACACTTGCTTCTCCCCAAGACCGTGCTTTTCAAAAATGTACCTCAGATGGTACATTAATGCTGTTTGTACCTTTGGGATGTTCTTCGGAGTACCTTAAAAGGTACAATTACAAGGGTACAGCCCCAGTGACAAGCAAAGGTACAAATGTTTACCTTTTTTTCTGAGTGTAGGACAGGGGTGGCCAATGTTATCCGCAAAGGGCCGGTGTGTATGCAGGTTTTTGGGATAACCTGTAGGTCAGCTGTTCAAACCCAGGTGTGAGCACTCTTCAGCCAATCAGTCCTCTAATTAGTAATCTCATTAGGGAGTTGCAGTGAAAACCCGCATACACACCTTCCCATTGTGGATAAGATTAGCCTCCCTGGTGTAGTATTTGAACACCCGTCGGTCTGGATCCTTAACTAAACCCTACCTGCTGATTTTGCTTGTATGAGTTCTTATCAGCTCAAGAGCGTGCATTTCTTAATGGGCATGCCTTAGTCTCTTAAGCACTGTGGTTGCCTGAGTTTGTGGACACCCAGCAAATCATGGTGCACAGATGTTGATGGAGAGGTTATTTATCTGTTTGTCCCAGGTCGTGATCAAATATGTGCTTTTTGTGGGCCACAACAAAATGGCCAGTGTGTGAACATACCTCAGAGATCATGATGGAAGGTACATCATGCGAGGTACATCCAAAGGTATAACATTAGGGTGAACATTGGGGGGGTTGAGGTCTCCACCCATTTAAGGGGGTCCAGGTGGTTGGATTGACTGGTTTTGATTATTGGAGGGGGGGGAGAGTCACATCCCACCATAATTTACGCTCATGGTACATTGGAATGATGTTCTGGACACAATGTGTTTATATTCAACTTCGACGGTCTAGATCTTTGCTCCCTCCCAATTCCCTGGGAGTTGGGGAGGGAACAAAAACATTGACCATCTAGGGCTCCCTGAGGACTGATTTGAGAAACACTGTCCTAAATGATGCAGGATGGCGTGTATGTATTGAAGGACACTTTGTCCTTATTTCCAGGACTCCCCGTTGGCCAGTCATCCTGGATCTGGTCGCCCTGACTGAGCTGTCAGAGAATCGCCTTCTGTGCCGACAGCAACGGCTCATTCCAGACCTTCCACAGTGTGCTTTCAGTGCTCAGCTACATGAGCGAAGCCCCGCTGGTGCCTGAAGGGAGCCCAGTGGCTAATATCTTCTTCCAGCAGCGTCCTGCATTGAAAAGCTCCTCCAGTGAGCCATTCGCTTTTGTGGAGTCATTGTGCAATTTATCTAACACTAAGGCTTGTCTAACCCAATAGAGGTAGTTAAAAAAAACACCTGTAAAAATGTAAGCCCAGTCAGAGGTGTCACAAGGCAGGGGCAACTGGAGCTAAAGCCCCAAATGTTTTTTTTTTAGCTCAGATGTTTTAACAACCAAGCTCTCAGTTAAAGAACCAGAGATAAACCCCACATGTATTAAGATCCTAGCAACAGACCTGCCCCCAGCCAACAAACATAGTATCTTGAGCAGAAGGAAGTAGTCAGTTTTCACCTCCTGCATGACTGGTAGCAAAAAGCCATACAGAGTCCTTAAGGCATTAGACACATGACTGAAGGTATTGCTCAGTCCCTGGAGTGGAAATACAGAAGCAATTTGTTCCTCAGATTACAGGTGGTTCAGATTACTTACTTCAAATTACTACAGAATTATTACATTGCATAAAATGGTAAAATATAAACTTATAAGCTATATGATTTTGTCTCTTTCTCTCTGTTTTAGAGTTTGCTGTGGTCTTTCACCCCAGAATTACATGCAACTGGAGCACAAAATGAAGATAGCTTCCTGTCTTGCTGTTGCTAGTGATCCAGTGTTGCCACGACAACTTTCAAGGGTGCAGCATTGCATGACAATGGGTGTCACTGCACTGTTAATAATGGTGTGTGGGCTTACAAGATCATTGGAACTGAATTCTGCCTGACAAATTCAAGAATATTTCAGTTCATTTACACTTTCAACCATTTTTGTCACTTCTCTGTTAAATTAAATAGAAAATATTCTGTTACCTTAGAGGCAATTTTAACATGCATTGAAAATGTATATTTTATTCTAAATATTTAGCAGTCACGCTTTATTAACATGACTTTACCTAGTTAAAAATGTTTCACTTGACGATTGGGACTTTGTTACTGGATTAATCAAAAGTGTCTCCTAAAACGTTTACCTTTATAAATCTCGTCTCTAGTTCAGACTAGACTAATTTTTGATTATCACTGAAATGTCTTTGTTGACATAAAGGAAAATATCTTGAGCGGTGTATTGTGTTACTAAACGTATGATTCACCTTTTAGAAGAGGCGTCCCTATAGTAACCATCTTTTAGAAGTGGCGTCCCTAGCAACCGTTCTTTTTACCTTGTATACAGATTTACATATGGACATTTATATAGACACTTCGTTCGTTTGATCCACGTAGCACACTCTTTGAGTTTTATTAAGTAAAAGTATATATGGTAAATGAAGTGGAGGTTTTCCGGGTTGAACTGCGATACAGGCAGCAAACGCGAGCGAACCAAAGATGGCGGAGAAGCGGCGATCAGGTGTGTCAATGGCCGAGCCGAAGATCGCCAAAGCGGACAGCGAGGAGGAATTTCTGTCCCAATTAGGGGTGGCTGCGCTGCTCAGGGGGTCTCTTCTTAAACTGGTGGAAGCCAGACCCGAAGATCCGATAGGATTTTTAGCCGATCATTTCGCTAATTTAGCATCGGGAAGCGAGGCTGCGGACTGCGGCGACGCAGAGCCGAGCAGGACGGTGCAGGACCGGCTGAGCCAGGCGCTGTGGAACCTCAACCTTGCGCATCATTCCCAGAGGTAAGGAACCGTGGGTAACTATAATAAACGTGCAGGGAGCAGAAATATAAAGTGCAGATATTTTATGGGTTCCACTGAAATAAAGGTGGCTGATTATGAGAAAGACCTCGGTGTGTATGTTGATGCTTCTATGTCCCACTGTCGCCAGTGTGGGGAAGCAATCAATCAATCAATCAATCAATAAATGCCAATAGAATGTTAGGTTACCTCTCTAGGTGTGTGGAGTTCAAGTCAAAGGAGGTGATGCTACAATTATACAATTCCTTGGTAAGACCCCACCTAGAATATTGTGTGCAGGTTTGGTCACCATACCTTAAAAAGGACATTGCTGCCTTGGAAAGGGTTCAATGTAGGGCTACAAGAATGATTCCTGGTCTTAGAGGAATGTCTTATGAGGAGAGGTTAGCTGAGCTGAATCTGTTCAGCCTCGCACAAAGGAGATTAAGGGGGGACATGATCCAGGTCTATAAGATTCTAACAGGTCTGGATGCTGTTCAGACAAATGGCTACTTCAATATTAGTTTAAATACTAGAACTCGTGGCCATAATTGGAAATTAGCAGGAGAACATTTTAAATTGAATCTGAGAAAACATTTCCTTACACAGCATGTAGTTAGAGTATGGAATAGTCTACCTGCTAAAACCCTGGGTTCCTTTAAATCAGAGCTAGATAAGATTTTAACAACTCTGAGCTATTAGTTAAGTTCTCCCCAAACGAGCTTGATGGGCCGAATGGCCTCCTCTCGTTTGTAAATTTCTTATCTTCTTACATCCATCGTGGACTTTCAGTTGAAAATGTGGTTGTAGTACCACTGTTGTCATTTCAATTTTATTGCGATTTTTAAAAAGTTTTGCCTACAATCAGCTTGCTGAGCACGTAAATTCTTCCCTCTCTTTGATGTCTCCAGTGGTTTGTTTATAGGAAATTGCCTGATTCCTGCATCTGTCATTTTAGATCTGCTTTTAACAACAACGTGCGGGTCGCCTACGAGCTGCTCATGACCGGAGGACAACATCTCTGCCCGGGTGGAGGAGTGCGGGGCCGCATCTACACCGAGCTCCTGCGCTCTCTCTGCACTGAAGCCGGCCTTTCCAGCTCCACCAGTGCGCCTCTGCTGCGCCGGATCCAGTGCCAGGACCACGAGGCCGTCCCCTTCGAGCTGTTCCGGCAGGGCGTGCTGATTTGCACCGTGTTTGCAGACTACGTGCGTAAATCTCAGTCCCTGTACCTGGCAGTCTGTGGCGGTTCCGAGGTGCCGGCCCAGCGGGCTCTCTGTCAGGCTGCCCTCGGTGCCCTGCGGGACGCACTGGACACTACGCAGTGCGCCGATACTGCACGCTACCTGGAAGCCAGTGCCAAAATCGCGCCTTGTACCTTAGCCCAGGCGATGGTGTCGGCACAGAGTTCCTACGAGGCCCAGGCCGGCGCCAGCATGGACCCAGAGGAGTTTGAGAAAGAGGCAGTAGCTCTGTTCACAGCCCGCATCCAGCCTGTGTCCTGAAACAATCTGACCATTTCTTAGAATCTTCTTATTAAACACGGCTCAACAAAATGTCGTTGGCACTGGGTAAAAATGAATAGGTGCGGTCAGTGAGGCCGTGTAAATCTTCCACGGGGTTGCCAACTCCTGCATCTGGCGTGACACTCTCACTTTGAGACTCTCACGCTCACACAAGAAATCGTATAGCAAATTTATATTATTCCATTATGAACCTGAGCATTGGGGTAGTTTGCAATCCATACAGACTACAAGATAATAAACCTGTTACATACATGTAAATATGTGTGCGTGTGTGTGCGGTTTGGTCTCGAGCCAGCTGACGAAAGATGGCAACCCTGCTTCTGTGGGTCGCTGTTTATGAAGTTTTGCATTATATACTTTGAGTTCCAGGACTGCGATTAGGGTGGTGAGACTTTGTGGGTAGCAGCCATCCGCACACACTTCCAGGGCTGGGGATTCAAACCCATGACCCGCTGGCGGTTCCAGGTTGTTGTCATTCCATCTCTGTGCTTTCTGGGCTAGGCGACAGGCTGCTTGTATTCAAAAGTGTTTCTAGGGTAGATGGATGGACATCCTGCTAACCCTTTCCCCAGCAGATTATTTTAATAAGTAAATAATATTAGAACATCATAGTATCATGATCTGACATTTATGTAAAAGCACATTTAGGTAGTAAAGTATGTTAAGTATGAAAGTTTTATGCAATATGTGTATGTGTATAACTTTCATGTTTAGCAAGGTGAGGGAGCAAAATCTAATCCCTACACATTTAATCCCCCAGTATTGTCCATATGGATACATTTAGGGGAGCCTTAAAATCATGAATGTGACTTTGTTAAACAACAGATGTCCGGCAATGCTTTTTAAGAAAAATTCTGTCATGGTAGTCGTTCTTAACTTGCAAAATAGTCATGAAATGCCTGACATCAACCTTTTCGGCCTGCTTTAAAGTGTGTAAGGAAGGTTAGGAAGGGGACAGCCTTTTCAGTCGCAGATGAAAGACCTGAACTGCATTTGAGCTTCCCTGTTAGTGATAAATGACTGGTTTGCTTCAGTTAAACATGAAGTATCTCTCTCCCAAATCTGCTGCTACTTTGCACATGCTGTTTGTATAAAGTTATGATTTCTGATGCAGTCTATCTATTGTTATTCACTGTGTACAGCTTGTCATAATCTATGTAGTGAAAAGGAAGGTGTTAAACTTTACTGGAATGTTGTGGCTGTGAAGTACATGCAGCTGTTTCAGCTGACTGAGCTGCCTGCAGTGGCACAGACTCTGATAGACTGACTCACTCTCCCGGTGCACTGATTGTCACTGTCTGCCGATGTACTCACTGTGACTTTCTGCCGATGGACTTAATGTCACTGTCTGCCGATGCACTGACTCACTTTCTGCCGATGGACTGACTGTCACTATCTGCCGATGGACTTAATGTCACCGTCTGCCGATGGACTGTCACTTTCTGCCGATGGACTGACTGTCACTTTCTGCCGATGGACTGACTGTCACTATCTGCCCATGGACTGAATGTCACTTTTTCTTATGGACTGACCGTCACTATCTGCCGATGGACTGAATGTCACTTTTTCTTATGGACTGACCGTCACTATCTGCCGATGGACTGAATGTCACTTTCTGCCGATGGACTGACCGTCACTATCTGCCGATGGACTGAATGTCACTATTTGCTTATGGACTGACTGTCACTATCTGCCGATGGACTGAATGTCACTATTTGCTTATGGAATGACTGTCACTATCTGCCGATGGACTGAATGTCACTTTCTGCCGATGGACTGACTGTCATGATCTGCCAATGGACTGACTGTCACTATCTGCCGATGGACTGAATGTCACTATTTGCTTATGGAATGACTGTCACTATCTGCCGATGGACTGACTGTCACGATCTGCCAATGGACTGACTGTCACTATTTGCTTATGGACTGGCTGTCACTATCTCCTGTGTTTGTGAGTAGAGTTTCAGTTGCGTATAAAAACCTTTCCTTCACTTCCTTTAAACTGATTCCCAACAAATTTCACCTGTTCAGTCTGCACAGATGAAGCGGAGAAGACCTGATTTTTAGGCCTTGAGACATCTGGGCCGTGGTTTGGGACAGAGCATGGGCGAGGTCAGATCCAGCAGTGTATCTGTAATGGTCCTCCACCCGAAAGACAACAAGCCATTGGTGAAAAACAGATCATTGATAAATTATGTGAAGGGCTGCTGACACGAAAGTCTGTGTTGGTTTATTCATCTCCTGAATAAACTGAACTCATTTGTTTTAGCTTAAGCTAAATGGTTCAACAACTTGCAGGCCTGGTAACTGACCACCAGCTAGAGCAGAGAAGCTGAGGTGATTACAAAGAAACATCAGTCTTTATTGCAAGGAGCCGCCCTTTCGTCATGTGACCTGGTGGTGGATGCTGAGATGCCCTCAACACAAGGAAAGGGCTGCATTCAAACTGAGAAAGCTTCCTGCTCTCAGGGGTTACATGCGTAGTAGCTGATCAAACCAAATCCCTGAATGACCTTGGTCAACATCCGATCCAAGTGTGCTGCCAAGCTTAACTGCTCAATCACAGACATTTTTAAAAGCAGACCAGTGACAGAGGTGGAAAGTTCTGGTGCAGAAAGTACAAATCCAGACCAAGATTTTGTTTTAACCAACCAGTTGAGCATAAAGACTCACAGTCACAGAGTACTCAGCTGGTTGGTTGAAACAAAATCTTGGTCTGGATTTGTACTTTCTGCACCAGAACTTTCCACCTCTGACCAGTGATTGCTGCAGCCTCAGTCATATTCAGGAGTGTTACAGCCCAGTCTATGATAAAAATCAGCTGTCGCAGGATGTTCCTTGAAAATGACACAAGTGAAAAGAAAACATTTCTAAATCATTACGGCTTTAAGAATTATAGACCTTAGGGTTTACAGGTGCGTCCTGCAACTGAAACATTCCCTAAAACATGACATAAATGCAAAAGAATACAGCCACTTCGAGCAAACATAGAGTATGTCTACAAATACTTTCATGGTGCAAATCAGAATAAACTTTTTATTAAAGTGTTCTGACATGTACATGGACGTTTTCTCGATGCATTTGGTCTGAGAACATTATACAGTGATGACACAGAAAAGCATCATAACTGATAAGGACTGCAGCAAGTAAACACTGCACATTAACACTTAGGAGTGTAAAGATTGTGTGATGCTTGTTGATGGTCAGGAATACAGCTCATGGAAAAAAGTTTTACAGCCTATTTCCATGTAGCAAACACACTTCTTTACTTGCATAACCTACAGCAGATGGTTAGCTTGTCTTTAACTGCAATATTGTTTACAGGTAATGATACTACAACTCAAACTGCTGTTACCATCATCACCATGGCATCATTATGAGGACAAATGGTTTCACTGGGACTGATGCTGATGTAAGATATTCAGACAGGATGCAACACATTTTGCATATGGGAAGTTGCACAATTATTTGCAGAAAGCCACAGTTCTTACCCAAATTTTGGTTATGACAGAAAAGAACTGAAACATTTAATTTCTGCCACCATAAAAACATCTTGATAATTATTGTTACAATTTTGATACATTATCTGGGGCTTGCAGTAGTGTTTTTCATAATGTAAATGAATGAATGAATGAATGTTAAGGGTGGAGTTTAACATCCATATGTTTAAACTGGATTGCTTGACTGCACAGGCGCAGAGAGATTTCCATAAATCCAGCACGGCATCGGTAATCACTGCTACATCATGCATAACGGTACCAGAAGATGTCAGTATTACATTCATTTTTTTTTGTTTCCCAAGCAGATTAATAGCTAGGCTTGTTTCCATAGCCATAGATGTACACAGTTAATCTAGCCATTTAATCTGCAATTAAGAACCTGAGTTCATTACCCACGGCCTGCTCCCTTGGCACCGAGCAGGACACTTGTTCAGTGCACATGCTGCAAAAGCAGTATATCCATCCATCTTCTATCCTCCGGTGAAGCTCATGGGGGCTGGCATCCAAGTCCATCACAGACTGCAGACACATTCGGTAATTCGGAGATGACCCTAAGAAATTCACCTCGCACGCTGGAGGAAAGAGGAATACTCAGAAGAATCCCACGCGACACAGAGGGAAGGTGGGATCTGAACCCACAACCCTTCATGCAATGGTGCTGCCCAACAGTAATAGCATCATACAGCCCTAACTGTGAATAAAATAACACAAATTGTAAATAATGATAAAGGGTAAGTAGTTTAAATGTAAATTACTCTGGGTAATCCAAGTGGCATGGAGTTAACGTAGCTACATTATCAGCACAAATTACCTTCAGTAACATTACATACCCAGTAACCATACATTATTGCGAGTCACAAAGTGCATCTGGTGCAAATGGTACCCCGAGACTGACTTCATTTCCCATAATGCAAAACTGAACCCATTCCAGACTCCTATGCTGAATAAGAGACTCAATTGTTAGGGACTAACATGAAAAAACTGGCTGGCTCTGGGGACCTCAAACAGACGTCTCTTCCCAGCTTGCCGACGTTCCAGCCTGGCTGAGAAGCTGGAAGAATTGTCCATCACAGATGTATCAAACGTATACTTCGTATTGCATTAAAATGATTTATTTCCAAATCCTCGTACATAACTTGTTAATTTTATGAATGTATATAAAAAAAAAATCCCACCACGAGATGCTTTGCAAGAATGCCCTGACCAGGAGTGCCAAAGGATTGCTGTATCCAAAAGGTGTGAGAGATTAAAGGCTCTAGTGTAAAAAAAATAAAAATAATAATATATATATATTTAAAAAAAAAAATCAACCAAGCGCACCATTCATGATCAGTGCATCTCTGATTATAAAATAGAACTGAGATAGAACAGAAAATGATAATAAAAAAAAATATATATATATATACAAAGTCAACACTGTAGCCGAGTGCAAACACACATAAGTGACAGATGAGGAATGCAGGCTGGTACAGTATCTGATTGAATTAATGTGCATCACAGTGCTAATCAGCGCTCAGTTCACTTAATAGAGAAATTAGAAAAAAAAAGTACAGTAGCTTGTAATTTGGCCTGTGTCTGAGTTTTAAGGCTATGTTGTCAAACCACAACTGGTGGGTGTGATTAAGGAAAACAAAGAAAGCAGGGTTAGACTGGAAGAGGGAGCCTCGTGTTTAACTCTCCTTGGATACAGGCTGAGTAGTGCTGCTGATCTGGAATCGAGTTTCGTCTGAAATCCCATACTGCTCCAGGGGGTCCTGGAAATGACAGAGACAGCAGGCTCAGTCCAAGCTGATTAGCTGGATTCAGTTCTAAGTTGATCAGTGACTGTGACCGAAAGGCTACACCACCTTGCCCGTCATGCGATGAATCTCCGTGCGATAGAAGATGAGGCTCTTCCTCATGAACTCGTAGCTGAAAGGGACAGAGACGTCAGCATTACCCCCAGACAAAGGCTGCTCGTTCAGGGGGGAGCATGACCGAAGGCTGACTTGTACCTGGCCCTGACGATGGAGTCTATCCACTCCAGGCACTGCTCCTGGGAGTCGCACTCAAACAGGTATTTCCTCTCCGCTTCATCTAGGAAAGCTTCAGAACCAACCAGGAGCGGAGTTAGAGATGAATGGATAGAGGGGCTGAATTTTTACTGGGGGGGTGCAATGGCAAATTATTCATGACTTAAGCAAATAAATACACATTTATTTGGAGAAGGGTGCTAGAAAACATTTTATGGGGACTAACACACACACACACACACACACACACACCCCGAAACAGGCCAAATGACATCACTAGAACCAACCAAGGGTATAACTTTGGGTTGAGCATGGGGGGTGTGGAGGTTCAAGTCTCCACCCATTTAAGGGGGTCCAGAGGGTTGTATTGGCTGGTTTTGATTATGGGGGGGTTACAACCTCCACATAATTTACGCCCATGGAACCAGCACTTCATTTATACAATGAAACATGCAAACTGCAAGAGATGCAATTCGAAAATAGAAGGAAAATACCTGCATTTCACTTCAATGTCAAGACTTGACCAGATAAATAACTGCTGAATGCAAACGTATGATTTCCATTCAGAGCAATGGCCCGAGTAAACGGATCACCTCCTTCACATGCTGGACGTGCACCCACCGATGGAGAAGGCCTGGCTGTCCTCCCTCTCGACGCGGCACTCCTCCAGCAACAGGGCTCCCAGAGGCTGCATGGAGACGTGCAAGAGCGCCTTAACCTCCAGCACACCCTCAGAGATACATATATTGCATACTGTCACCATCGTATAATATATATATATATATATAAACTGCGCCCCCCGCCAGTTACCTCCTCTTCATCCGTGCGAAAATAGAATAGGAAATTTACAACTAGCTTAACCAGCCGCTTCTTCACAACTGCAATGATTAAAAAAGAAAAGAGGAAGTAAATTCACGATGGGGAACCGTCTGCATGCATCTCTCTGCATGCTTCTGTTGCAGAAATGTTAGGTTAAACTCACTATAATATATTATGTACCTTTAAATTTACTAAGTTGCACCCTTACATGTTTAGGGAGTACCGTTTTTGTAACACAAATAGAGGGGGAAAACCTTGTTATTAACCAAATAAAGTAATATGCGATATCGGAAGCTTAGATCCTAATGATGTTTAATAGGATTTTGAATACTAACATGACACCAACATTTTACAGAAAAAGTGGAGAGGAGTAAGGAAATGAATGAAGCGCTGGGACATACCGTCGCCTTTCTTGGGGCCCCTCATTCCCAGCTCCGCCGCTTTGTCGGACGGTTGGCGGCTTAACGAAATCAGCTCTCGCTCGTTAAAACGCATCTCGAAATCATACGCCGCGTCCACAGCAGGCAGCGCACAAGCTCCGGGCCTTCGCTCTCTCTCCTTAGCATCAAATCTACAGGCTTCGTCGATGGGACATTTATGCTGATGCAGAAAATCGGACGCGGTAATCCAGTGAAGAAATCTGCGACTGTACGAAGTCGCTGCACAAACTTCAAATCCTTCAAAAATGCCCAGTTTTCATCAACAACTGCATGCATACGAGATACATTACACCAACACATACACCTAATTATGTATCCTAGTAATTGTTACAGTTGGCTATGTCTTTCGATTTCAATTTCCTTATGATCTTACTACATGACATTCACATTTCTCCTTCCCTGATCGCTGTCCTCCCACTATTAAGTGACTTACCCCCGCATCACCCATTCACACTAACTCTACACGGGCTTACCCCGGCTGGGTCGTAATTTTCCACACCCACTGAAACTAAACACTCCGCCGCAGATAGGTTTCTTGCGTCACTGTCACTGAACACGAACTCCTTGTTTGTCTTGGCTGTCCTTATGCGAGCCAGAATGCACATCAACCCTCAGCATTACTATGCTTGACTTTAGGTGTGAAGGACAAGTTCTACATAAGAAATGATAAAACAGTTGTGGCGTACGGTCTAACAACAGTAAAAATACATTTCAGGTAGTTAAACAAATATTTTGGCAGGCTTTACAGTAGATACGGTGAAAATTTCATAGCTTTAACTTTGTTTCCAGTGCTAAAATATATCTTTAACGGAGAATCATCTGAAACAACAGATACATGCTGTCATTATTACACTGTTGTCTATAAAGTTTTACTGAACTTGAAATTGCCGGAAGTAAATCCTTTCAGCGCATGCGCAGTGTTTTGTAACGCTAGCGTGAATTCGACGGCGAGATATCGGTAAGTGAATTCGTTCATTGAAATTGTTTAAGATTTATGTTTATTCACTAGTTGCTCATACACTAGGTTGTATACTCGTCATAGTTAGTTTTAATTGCAATTTTGTACCTTTTTTAATTTATAAAAAATTATTATGTATGGTGATCAAGATGACTCGCTCATTGCTGCTATGCTAACTAGAGTTTATGTGCTAATTAGGAAAAAATCAAACTGATACAATGATACACGCGTGTGCTTTTTCATATTGTATTTTCGTGTGATTGATTTCCGGAAAAATGAATCAGTCCAAGCCATAGCATTGTAAGCTACTAGTTTGGTAAACGTTTTGGCTGTATTTGGAGGTCTGGTCCTTCAAATGATCTGGACCTTTCTTAACGGTCGAATAAACAGATCATAGGATGAAACTTCATTTTTCGTTATATTTCATTCGTTCAAAAATATTAGGTTTAAGTAATTAAGCAATTTTCGAAAACACGGTGGATTCTTTTAAATTCAATGTTTGAGTTCATTTCGATGTTGATTGATATTGGCCGGACTGACTTTTTCGCTACATACACATATAAACGTAGGTTAAGTATAACCTTATGTCCTGTTTCCGTTGCTAAAATTTCAGGTGACCACGTAGTTCTTGGCTGTTCTGCCGGTGAATTCACCTAACCGCAGCAATGGATTTCCAACACCGAGCCGGCGGTAAGACCGGGAGCGGCGGGGTCGCCTCGGCTTCGGAAAGTAACCGCGACCGTCGAGAGCGTTTAAGGCAGCTGGCATTGGAGACCATCGACATTAACAAGGACCCTTATTTTATGAAGAATCATTTGGGTTCCTATGAGTGCAAACTGTGCCTCACGCTGCACAACAACGAGGTAACTACTGAGGAAACGGGAATATACGCTGTATTATATAATGATTCTTGATGTCAGAATGAATAAGTGTGATTCTTATGTTTTCTTGCTGTTCCTCAGGGGAGCTATTTAGCTCACACACAGGGGAAGAAGCATCAGACCAATTTGTAAGTATAGCTGACCTATTTCTCTATTCCACCCCCAGTTTGGTGCCAGCGCGTTAAAGTTTACCCCGGTGAACGAGGGGGTCGGCTCCCTTCGACTTCGAGTCGGGGGAAGGACTTTGACTGTTGTCTGTGCGTATGTGCCCAACACCAGTAAAGAGTATCTGGCCTTTTTGGAGACTTTGGATGAGGTGTTGGAAGGTGCCCCCACTGGGGACACTATGGTTTTGCTAGGGGACTTTAATGCTCATATGGGTAATGACAGTGAAACCTGGAAGGGTGTGATTGGGAGAAACGGCCTGTCTGATTTGAGCGGTGATCAGTTATTGGACTTCCGTGTTAACCACAATTTGTCCGTAACGAACAGCATGTTGGAACATTAGGCTGTTCATAAGTGCACTTGGCACCTGACCAGTCTAGGCTGGTACAGTATCATGGTACAGGGGTGCTTCATGTGTATGGGGTCTATTGTTGCAGGCTATCAGGTCCCTGTACAAACAGAGTGAGAGTTTGGTTCGCATTGCCAGCAATAAGTTAGACTTATCCCCAGTGGGTGTAGCCAAGGGGTGGAGGGGGTCCAGTTCAGGGGCCTCAGGATCGTCTGCAGGGTGGCTGGGCTCAGCCTTAGCGATAGGGTGAGGGGCTCCGACATTTGGGGGGGGGGCTCAAAGCATCGAAAGGAGCCAGATGGTATTTCGAGCATATATCTAGGATGCCTCCTGGACGGCTCCCATGGGAGGTGTGTCGAGCATGTCCAACCGGGAGGAGGCCCTGGGGGAGACCCAGGACATATTGGAGGGATTACGTCTCTGAGCTGGCCTGGGAACACCTTGGTATTCCCCTGTTGGAGCTGGAGGAGGTGGCTGGTGAGCGACCCGGACATAGATCAGCGGCAGGGAATGGAGCTGACCTATTTATAAGTTGTTATAGTAAAATGTAAAGCTTATTACTTGTTCATTTCACTGCCACATTAAGAACAAGTGGGTGCATCTCTGCCATCTCACTATGGTGGTGCTACTGGTCTGCAGAGATCAGAGATTTTGGGCCAGTCCAGCTATCTTTAGGGTCCCTATCACTTATGGTCCCTTGGAATCATTCTAACACACCCCCCACCACCACCACCCTTTAATGACGCCCCTGCTGGTCTAACCCTGTAACCGCGTGTCCATCTCAGAGCGAGACGAGCCGCTAAGGAGGCCAAAGAGGCTCCAGCCCAGCCGGCCCCGGAGAAGGTGAAGGTGGAAGTAAAGAAGTTTGTGAAAATCGGTCGCCCAGGATACAAAGGTGAGCGTGAGAGCTTTCACACTCACTCACCAAAAACAAGGATTTGATGAGCTCAGACATGCAATGAAGTAGCCAGTAACACAAATTCACATCTAAGTGTATGACTAATTAGAAAGAGATGTATTGAGAGTTATGCAATAAAATGTGCTTCTGGGTGAAATTCTAGGAATGAAATGAAATTGTGTGTGTTGGCAGCATCACTGAGTGCTCTGTCTCTCATGGGGAATGAAGATTCGTGCTGCTGTTCTTGTATCCGCTGTGTCCTGGATTTTAGGTCTGTGAATCTAAGACTTTTTTTCCCCCTTTATAATAGTGACTAAACAGAGAGACCCAGAGAGTGGGCAGCAGAGTTTACTCTTCCAGGTTAGCTACCTTTACGTTTCCACCATGGCTCTGCTATGCTGTTTTTTTTCCTTTCAGCATGCGATTGCACATTGCCGCGTGCGATTGCACATTGCCGCGTGCGATTGCACATTGCCGCGTGCGATTGCACATTGCCGCGTGCGATTGCACATTGCCGCATGCGATTGCACATTGCCGCATGCATGCTCGGCCCTTGCCTTGCTTACCCTCGTTTCCATCTCTGAAGCTTCGCCGTGTCTCTTTGCTCTGGGTTCCCATCAGATCGATTACCCGGAGATTGCGGAGGGAATCGGACCACGGCACCGCTTCATGTCAGCCTATGAGCAGCGCATCGAGCCCCCCGACCGCCGCTGGCAGTACCTGCTCATAGCGGCAGAGCCCTACGAGACCATTGCCTTCAAGGTGCCCCTGTAGTGTTTCTGCGTTTGAATGGAAGGGTCTGGATAATATGCTCAGTGGGAGGAAATTAAATGCATTTTAATTAAAAATAGTCTTTACGGTCTGTCCTGCTGCAGAACCTAGTAAAGCATGTTAGTTTGTCAGTGGTATCTCATCCGGGGTGATGGGACACTGTCAGGTTCATTACTCCCCATCTTTAATCGAAGTGCCTAATGAGCTCCATGTTTCCGCAGGTTCCCAGCAGAGAGATTGACAAGGCAGAGAGCCGGTTCTGGACACATTGGAACCGAGAGACAAAACAGGTAGATAAGACAGAGACACCCACAGTCTTAAGGTATTTTTGTGTTCAGTTATCACTAATAATAATACACCCCCTCCCCCCACAGTTCTTTTTGCAGTTTCACTTTAAGATGGAGAAAGCCTTGCCCCCACCCAGCTGTCCGGTGCCCCCCATGGGGGTGAAGAGGCCACCTCCTCTGATGAGTGGGCTTGGTCCACGACCTCCCACAAGTGAACCAGTCCCCCCACCGCCTCCCGGTGGTATGCACCTGCCCCCCCTGCCCCCGGAGGGTCCAGGGTCTGCACAGATGCCCCCTCAAATGCCCCCTCAAATGCCCCATGCTCCAGGCATGCCTCCACCTGGTCCAGTGCCCCCCATGATGAGGCCGCCGCTGCCGACCGAAGGCCCCGGGGGGATGCCCCCGCCCCCACCAACCAACTAGTATTTTATGTTCTAGAACTTTCCGCTTGTCACTATTATTTTCAAGTTTCTTGGTTGTGTAAATCCTCAGGACATGGCTTTTATACAGTCTACATACATTTTTGAAAGCTCCCCCCTCCTCCCATGTTACTTTTAAAAAAATAATTTGTGTGTGTGTGTGTGCGCAGAGTGTGCTTACCCCCCCACCCCCCCTGGTATCACTCCGCCTCACACGACAATTACTTTTATAAATAAAAAATGAGCCATCAGCACATTTTGTCTGCATTGTGTATTTGTCACAAGACTAAATGTGAATTAATGAATGACACTTTATTGATCCCGTAGGGCAATTCTCTGTTCGCCTACCCCATCTTGTTCCCTGTAGTATATGAGAGCCTGGCAGAGAAGGGCAGTTACCCACAGCAGCGTCCATGGGGCTGGGGCTTAAAGGGCCTTGAACCCGCGACCTTCCAGACACGGGCTTAGACCACTAACCAGCACCCTGTGTAAAGTTAGCTGACTTCTTCATTTAAACATTTTCTTTTAAGCTGCCCAAAGCCACTTGCAATTTTGTTAATTATTAGCGTTAAGGAAATATATGATTCAAGAAAACAGTTTGGAGATCTGATTGAACAGGCAAGAACTACCATGTGTTGTGCTTAATTATATGTGGTTAATTGCTAACCTGTAGGGGAAGGCAAAGACTATAGCACTTCATGTAGTGCTATTTCTGTGAGTGTCCATTTTGGAAACATAAGGAAATGTCTAATTTAATGGTCTTGTTACAAACAGGGTTCACAACATAAGGTTTAGTACTGTGTTGATTTTTCAAGGTGGTACTTAAAACAGTTTCAAAAAGCTTTAGATTCTATACCTATATGTAACAGAAATTACTGTGTATGACGTGGAGCCTTTTATTGGAATAATTTCACAGTGAATGTAAACTCAAAAGCTTGAAACCATGCTGGTTTATTTCTCCTATGATATATTTTGCGCACAAAACATGCAATTCAAATCAGCAGGATTCCAGATGTCCGTCTCTCCATTTTACGGCTTCAATAAGTGAGTGATCACAGTGTCACTAATATCACATACTGGCTTGAGTTGTTTTGTGAAATGATGCCCCAACGTGGGTCTGACACAAGGTCACTTATGGAATCATTTTGTTACAGTCTTGTTTCACTGTTTTGTTCTTTAAACCATGCAGGCAGTTTCTAAAAAATAGCAGTTTACGCGTGGTACAGAAATTACATGTTGCTTTCTTGAATGCCTAAGAAATCACAGAGGGAGCGACAGTCAGAATTTGAGCTTAGCATCTGTTAGCAAGACTTCATACTTGGGATACGAGTATGTTGAACACGTTGCTTTATCTGATATTACTGATGGAACTCAAACCTGTTTTGTATAAGCCTCTGGATATATACACCGTCATAGAAACCCCACTAAGGTTTCTCCTTACATACTGTGCCTGTGGGTTCTGATTCCAGCCCTCTTTATCTCAGCTGTTTCCTGCTGTCGTTTTACCTGTTTGTGTCCTTCTGCCTGATGCCTCTTTCCTTTGGCTCTCTCTTCTGCTTTATCCTCAAACCCTCGCCCCCTCACTTTCTCCCTGTTCCTATGCCCCTTGGCCACTCCTCTAAGTGATTCCCCCTTCTCATGCCTGTCTTTCTTCCTCCGCTCTCTCTTGTCACCCGCTTTCCCCTCTTGTACCCTGACGACCTTCTCCGTGGCTTTCTTGTGTTTGGGCTGTCCGACACCTCCACGGCCACCCCTTCTTTGATTGCCCTTCACCTTTGACCTTCCTTTCAAGTTCTCTTCCTCATCCTCATCTCCATCATCCAGTATCCAGTCCCAGAACCAGTTGTCCCATAGTGAGCTCTCGGCCTGGAAGATATGAAATAAGATGTGGTTTTAGCTGTGTTCTGGCCCTGAACTTTCCATCTTGTTTCTGAAGTGATAGCCCATAACAGGCTGTGGTTTGCCACCTGCTGCAGTGAGACTTCCTTCTTCAGACTGACATGTCTCAGGTAGAGAGTATGTGGATCTGAGACCTCTGGGCTATCCTTATGTCTCCATGCCTGCAAAACCTCTGTGGGAGGAAATAATTTAGAACGACGTAAAGTCAGTGCCCTCCTTCGACCATCTGTACAGGGCGTAAGAGTCTTACTGTCGATCTCCACTCACCATGCAGCCTCTGGCAGCTGGAGCCGATCAGTACTATGGTGATGGCCAGAATCAGACAGCGGTTCAGTGTGATGTTTTTCCACGGGGCCTCGATTTGGCTTAAGCTCGGGATAGACAATGCACGACGCAACGATACTGCAGAATTCGGGGGGGGGGCAGAGCATCCAAAGAAACATGCAGATTGACACGTAAACAGAGACGGACGCTTGATGTCACGTAGGTAAGCAAACTAAGATGCATGTATGTCATACGCACGTCCACGCGACATTTCCTTCTGGGTCACTTTGGGGGCTGGCTGCGGACTGGGTAGGTTCTGTTAGTGGAGAGGCATCATGATCATAAAGAAATATGGATTCCTACTTTTAGTTTAAATTTACACACAACCTATGCTGCGACGGAGCAGTGAGAGGTCTTGCTGCATACATACATGCATACAGACATTTTGTACAAACCTTTAAGCTTAGTGTTCAACTATAACTCACCTCTATCGTTCTCTTTAGGCTCTGGGTGTCTGCAAGGGATAACAGGGTATGATTGTACATTGTGGTTCTAGACCCTTGGGGATTAAGTTCCAATTGTCACCTTTTGCCATTATATTAATTTAGAGGTTAATGATCTTGAATACTCAAGGGCCAGTATATGTATAGCAACTCATTTTCATAACTATAGTCCTATTTTAAATTGAATGCCAATTAGAACACTACAAATAGAAATTCCTTGACCCTCTTCTAGGACAACAAAGGTGATGGGTTATGTTTTATTTGTTGTTTCTTTTATTTTGCTTTCCACAGTAAGAAAAAGAATCAAGAGTAATGTTAGCTTCTAGGGAATGTTGCATAACAGCAAGCATGACAGAAACATTGTGAAATAGAGGTTGTTACAAAACATACCTGCACGTCGAACATGTCTGATGGGTTTTTGTGCAGATTCCTGCTGCGCTGGTGACCTGAGCTCTTCTTCAAACATCTCAAATGTACTCTCATCCATCCTCACATATACAGAGTTCCCGCTGCAACCAATTCAGGACTTGTGAAAATGTAGTGTTGGACAGTTGAGCCATTTAAATACTCCATTTAAAAAGTAATATAATTAATACATTAACATTAAGTAAACATTTTTTTCACCAATAGCATTAGCAGAGGCCATTGACTGAGCATATATGGATCACACCAGTCCTTTAAACTGGCTTCACTCAATCAAGATTATTTAAGGTAGAGAATCTATTGGCACAACGCATACAGCATTGTAATGCACATACTTGATTTTCCCATAATGTCAATTACAGTTAATTAAGCTGAATCTATCTGCCAGTACAAATCAACATGACAAATCCTTACGCTGCGGAGGTGCCGTTATCAAACAGAACCAAGAATCCAGTTTAAATGCAACAGGCCATTTTTTTTCTTATGTTACTTTTACCACTGTGCTTTCAGTAGACATGGCAGAGCTGATTACATAGAAAGTTTATACAGCCAGCTCAAAATAGACACAAGCCTGGCGCAGGAAGGAGAGACAGTGGGAAAGAACAGAAAGAAATATGAAGAAGTAGACATCAAATAACTGATCTGTTCAATACACACAGACACAAGTCACCCACCTGACCACGGGACCACGAGACAGTGGTTCTTACCTGAATTAGTCTTGAAATGCAATTGCTGTGGACTTTAATTTCAGGAACAATGGCCCAGGGGCTGCCCCACATTCCTGTTCGTCTGACAGCTGAAAACAGGTGCAGCATAATGAAAAAACAAAAAAGCTTAGCCTGTCCCACTATTAGCCTGTCCCGCTATTAGCCTAGCTGATAGCTTCACATTGCACTCCAGGATAACTAGCCAGCATATTCAGCAATGTTGCCACACTTTGTATTCATATTGCCCCTGGTTAAAGGAAAACCGTCAAACAATGGCATCACTGATACAACATCATAACTGTAATCATGCTACTTTGAAACAATTGATGTGGATTGAAGGCAATAGAAATGAAAAACATGCCAACAAACACTGATTAATTATTATTTATTTATCTGCATGAATGGTTTTGTTTCCCAGCAGAAATGTTTGTTATGAAAATTCTCTGTAACCTGTTGGCTTTATTTTCCATATATTTTTTAATGAATTAAAGTAGGAAATAGATGCATATGAGAAATAATGAGAAGAATGAAAAAAATATTAAGAGAAAGTTTTAAAAAGATTACTAAGAATTTGAATCATGTCTACTTTGGCGAGATAATTTTCTGTTGTCTTGGATATTGCACTATTATAGAGTGGATACAGTGGCATTGGAGTATGACTCCGGGGTGTGTGTGTCCCAATGTTTGATTCGGCTTCATCCCCCTCAAACACAGACTTTTGAATAAATTATGGAGCTATATGTCCTCCAACATAAAACTCATTCACGTCTTTGACTTTGAGCAGTTGAGTGGATGCAAACAATCTCAGGTGTTATGATAGAATGTTTGAAATAGTTTTACATAGTTATCAACCTTCAGCGAGAGCGATTCCACGCAGCGAAGGGTATTAATATACACTCACCTAAAGGATTATTAGGAACACCTGTTCAATTTCTCATTAATGCAATTATCTAATCAACCAATCACATGGCAGTTGCTTCAA